CTTATGGCTCCATCAAAAATGTAGGCTAATGCTGCAAAAACTTATCACAATGCAAAACACAACACATCCAAAATTAAATTTCACAATGGAGCTTCTTTCGAGATTTAAGGAGCAGTTCTATCCATGACTGCTTGGACTTGAATGGCTAGGTGACGTCGAAGTTTTCCCACACCTCAAAGTTAAAGAGAGTGTGGTTAGAGTATCTCACCGACTCAACATGGGTGTCCAGACGCCTTCGTTTCTTTCTCCGTCTTTCGCCACCAGACTCTGAAGCCTGACTAGAAGTTCGCTGGTAAGAAGCAGCTGCCGCCGTCGCTGCAGCACCTGTTCACATGACAAGTGAAGCACTTTGACGTGGAAACTGAAGCCTCCTCATGCGCAGATTAGCCAAAATGCTACCATAGCAAACAACTCGTAACAAAATAACAAAAACTGTCATCTACCCATTTGTAGCACATACAAAAAAAAATGCACACGGATTTCTCAGCCAATGGGTTAATCAATAATGAAAGATTGACAAAATCAGGAAAGTTTGACTAAGCCGCGCAAAGCCTGGCTGAGCGAAGCATGGTGCAGCTTGTACTTCCAGTCAAATCGTTTCATCTAGCTTCGAGATGCGAGTCATCAGCTTTTAGAGTTTGCAGTATTTAAGGTATCCCATGGCTGTCTCTGCATAATCGGGCACAGCCAGGCAATGCCATTGTAGAGTGGAGTGGTTACACGTCTGCATCAATGGCCGGGGCCTGGCTAACGTGCATGTGCGTCTGTGGGTCAGACGGTGCAGTATCTGGGTCGCAATGCTTGCTTCCCTTCCTCTTTCGATCTAGTTTCCGTCTCTTCATGTCCCACGGCTTTGATAACTGCTATGGGACGCTATGCAATTGGGCTCCTCACACCACAACTTTGCATGGCTCACTCGAGCTACCTCTGCATCCATGGCTCAGATTGCCATAAGACGCCATGCAGCAGTCTCCACCACAGAGCATGGGCTGTGCTCGTCGTTGCTATGCATAAAGTGACAGTTTTTGTTTTTTTTCAGCACCACTACTGCCATCGTTATGGTTCGACAGTTGGTAGGGCACGTGCTAAGCTCGGCAGTTGCCTACCAATGGCGCAGCAACTTTTGTTGGCAAAACCACTGCCATCTCTGTAATTTGATTTACAGCTTTGCTGTTACAATTCATCCTGGTTTAGAATTTAGCCCTCTAGGCCAACGCATTACTAAGACGCTTGCCTTACCACCTGAGCTAACAAAGTAAGCATATCACAGCGTGATGGCATATTGACAACTTCCAGCACATGAACATGAAACATCAAAAGAACAGCTATGCAGTGGCCTGCTAGGCCAAGGAACATTTATGAAAAAGTTACTTTTAACCTCCACGAACCTCCTTTTCCCGTCATGCTTTCTCATATCTGATTTTTTTCGAACAAGGCATTCTACGAGCAGAATAACCAAGTTACAAATATCCAAGGTGTGTGGAGGAAATTTCACGCAATCCAAAAAAAAAGGAGCAAAGTGAATAGCCTACGTGTAATGCTCACAATATGACATGTGACATCCTAACTTCAAATGCAACAAGTGGTATGTGGAACCGTTTGAGACAACCATGTTGTATTGCTGCGAACCTAGCCACAAAAAGTGATGTAGACACTGATATAAGTGTATGAGCCAATAATGTTCCCGACACAAGTAAACACAGGTATAGGCGTGCACCCGACTATAGGCGCTACTTAAACCTAAATTAGTGTTTCTATTCCATGAGAACTGTGCAAAGCAGACAAAAGAGCCTTAACACATACCTTTCCGTTTCTGGAGCTTTTTTCTGCATTTCTTCTCTCCCTCTTTTTTTTTTGTTTAGCAGCTTTTTTCTTTTCCCTCTTTCTGGAAAGCAATGCAGAACATTGGTAAACAAGAATCTTCATTTTTCTTTTCTTTTTGGCAGTCCTATAAAGTTAGTTAGCCAGCACCTGCTCGCTTTAAACTGGCTCCGCATTAGACCTTTTTCAAAGACTAATTGCATAGCCCGCACTTGGAGCAGTTCTGTCGTCACGGGCCGCTGTGCCGCTCGCTGCTCAAGCACATACTCGCCGAGCAGCTCTTTATTTGCAGAAACCGACCTTGCTGTGGTCCACCGAAGCCTTTGCATGAAGCTTAGCTGTCGACAATCTTCTGCTTTTGTTTCCGCCGGTCCCGCACGCACGTTTCGGGAACTCCGAACGACAGCGATGCGGCCCGATTTCCGTCCGTTTCTGCACATGCGATGACTTTTCTTTTAAAAGCGGCATCCTGGTGCACTCGAGTTTTTGGAGTCGGCCCTTCCACGCCATCGATGCTAATGCACTACTAGATGACGAACTGCTCAGCACACGTACGAAGTGCCGCACATGGGAAACACATAGGCAGAAATGACCGACGCGCCATGCCGACGCACGTAGGGGGCGGCCATTTTGGATTTGCCGATGGCAATAGATTGACTGTAATTTTTTTGTTCGTACTCGATTCTAACGCGCATGCAATTTATAAACTCGCTTAACCGGAAAAAAGGTGCGCGTTAGATTCGAGTAATTACGGTAATAAGAGTGTACTGATACATTCCTGTTTTGCAGCTATGATAAAAAGGGCTTTTCTTTATTTCCCTAACGTCTTCACCGCCACCATGGGCTAACTATGTGGTGACCCAGAAATTGTGGAAAATTTCAAGAATGTGACATACGGCAATGGCATTTGCCATATGCGTGAATTATCTTTGTTTACATTTAGTCTTTTTGTGACGTCCTGCTCTCGACCTCATCCATCCTATCCGACACTTTGCAAGATGTGAATAAACCACTTGTGGGTTCGCGTACCACCTGTCCTGTAGGCCCTTTCTCATCCTCATCTGCAGCGCAACACTAAATCATGAAGTAGCGAGGTGTATGCAAACATTTTAAATTCTGCTTTTTCTTGTATGCAATATGTTGGCTGCCACAGCTCGTTTCTACGGAGATGAGTGACACAGATGCTACATTTTCATGATGAAATTAACATGTTCTTATTTCTAATACAGCACTTGTGTCATATTAGAGAGAGCGTGCTCACATATGGAACAAGGGGCCTGAGCAATTAGTTACTGTAGGTACACAACAGTTTAAGTAAACACAGGGATTAAAATAGAGAGCAACTACCTCCCCCTGATGGTTGGTGCTTAATAAAGCACATGGTTTGTAATTGTTACTGTTGTCTTAACATTCAGCATTGTTCTGCCACTTGCCAGAATGGACATACATGGCAAAGCTTATATTGGCTTTTACTGCAAATTTGTGCAAGTTATGCTGAACAAGCCATAAATCGGAAAAGGCTGAAGCAAGAAAAAAATAAAACACTAAGAAAGAGGAGGGCAAGAAAAGCACGGCCTTGGTGGGAATGCAGAGTGCTTGGAACATTGTAACGAGAGCACCGTATGGCACAACATGACTCCGCATCACCGAGTGAATCGCAATGAACAGCTGTGGACAGACTAAATGCAAAGCAGAAAAAATTAGACATTAGAATGCCTTTTGTGAGCGATACGCTGAGGGCATAATCATGCACTGCTGCTTGTCCAGCTGCCAATGATAATATACGAGTCAGACTAAGCATACAAGCCGAGCCATACTGAATGCCCCACAGAAATGCGTGCAAGAAAAAGACACCAAAAATCCTCGTCTCTTGTTTCACACTCATCATGAACAAGCACCAATTCGCCTAACTGTCAGTACGCCCAACACAAGCTGGACTCCACACCTATTGGAGTGCGGCCATGACTGCTGGTGTCCAATTTCCACAGCACTGCTCTGTAATGCAATGCCACTGGGATCGTATCAAACTAGTTCTCACATTTAACATGTCTACAACTGCACATCTGCCCTCTACAATCATGAAAGTGTGAGTTTTTGCAGGCACAACTGAACTTGTCACTCTGGTATCTTATTCTTTGAAAGAAGGGCCCAAGCCAAATTCTGTCAGTATGTCCGCATTACTATGACAAGCAGACGAAAGCTTCGTTACCATAAAATTTTACAATATCTCACGACATCGCTTAAGTAATTCATTCTAACATGCACAATCTTTCAGAATGCACTCTTAACTTTAGGAACTTTTTACGAGCGTCTACCAATACAAGCTCTAAATATAAGCTATTCTAAATTAGATGTAGCAATAATCTTACAGGAACTTAAATTATAGATCAGCCGAACTCGATTGCTAATTCATGTGAGCTGGCAACCTAATATTTTCCTTGTGCCCTCCTAGGTTTTCATGTAAGAGAGACAATGAGATACCATTGACAGTTGAAGCCTTTGATGAAAAATTGATTCTGCAAGGTAAAAGGTGGGGGGACGAGAGAGACTAGAATGATTTCGACCACCTAGGGTCTTTTAATGTGCACCCAATCCAGTGCAATGATACATGCGCATTGCAACACATTCAATGCCGTGGAAATGCAACTGCTGTGGCCACACTATATGAATGATTTGCTAGGAGAGCAAGCACCTGCAGATGCAATTACTTTTAAAAACCATTAAATTACTGGACACCACCTCACACCTGGTTGCAGACACGTCTAATGGCATGATGTATCTATGTGGGTGCATCTCATTAGGCCTTCAGATAGCAAAACCGCCAAATGGCCTCAGAAATAAGTGATGTTACTTGCCAGCTTTGAGGAAGTGAAAACTCATAACACCTCCAAGAGACCAACAATAGTGAGAACACAGCAGGTTCGAGAATTAGCGCTGGAGCTAAAGTTTTTATCATGTGCCAAGTGACGTTATTTTTCAGCATCAATTAACATTACGCATGTTAAACTCCCCACGCGGCACAAAGGAAACAGAAAAGCCAAATGACATACAAAGAATGCTCAGAGAAGTGCACAATGTTCTTGGGTGTGGAAAACACAACTTGAAAACTGTGTGTTAACTTAACCAATTTGGAAAATCTCTTTATCACCTTGATCTTCACATCCTGTTTTGTTTGCACTACAGAATAAATATTGCTCTCACAGTCAAAACATCTACACCTCCATGCAAGTAGCTATAGTTGAAGACTGGGCTTGTTATTTGTGCGTGACAGCATATTGCAGAGCGCAACTGATTATCGTGACACAAGAAAGATGCACATAAAACAAAGTGCTTCATTAAGTGCTTTGTTATGCATCTTTATTGTGTCATGTCGATCAGTTGTGCTATGCAATCTAGAGGCAAGTGCACAAGACAGCCCCTGCAGCTCTCCTGCTCACACCCATGATTTTCGGGAAATATTGATGCTAATATTTTCATTGCGGTAGGTGTGCCTGACACTGAAATTTAGAGCTTGTATTGGCGTGTCAGAAGCAGACTATAGCAAGACAAAGTGGGCGGCCAGCTAGCAAGGGTGACGGCGAATGGAGTGAGGGGGAGGGTGGTACTTACAAAGCAGAGTGCAAATGAGGCTGAGGACCTGAGCAACTCGAGAAACAAAAAACACGCACACATACACACAATGATGGGGTGAAAAAGCCCTATGAGCAAAAAAACAAAAAGCAACAAAACACACAACAATGCACATTTAAGCTCAGTGATAACACTAACGCTGAGCCAGAATGGGTGTGCAAGTGTCTGGGCTATTTTTAGTAAGCTGCCACTTGCAACTTTGTCAATTTTCAAAGCTTGTGAAGTGCACTACCAGTCAGTAGGCACAGAAGTGCACAGAAGACAGAGTGAGCAATTTATTGATGTGTTAGTTGCAGACAAATGCTAACTGCAGCCAAACCATAGTAATCCCGCAACTATAGTTGCACAAGGAAACTGAGCACCAGTTACTAAATTGACACACTTATGAAGTTCCAAATGATCTAGCCCCCACAGCTAAGTCCAGGAACCTAGTCAAATTTTTTTTCCAGTTTCAATAAAGAGGAAACAATGTTGGTTTTACAAGTATACAGCAAAGTATTTAACTCTGTGCTGTTTATTTTATTGATAATAATCCTCAGCACAAACTGAGCCTTTTATTGACTAGTAAATGTCGCCATATTCCACTGACTAAATACTGAATTTATCAGCAAGGTGGCAAGTTGGGCTAGTTGGATAACGTTCATGTTTGAAAATTTTTGTTGAAGCGCACTGAAGACAGACGGAAAATTTTCAATCATGAATTTATACAATTGCTGAGTGTGCAAGTGCATGAACCAGTAAAATTAGTAAATGCTCAGGAGCCATGTATGCTATAATGTGTTCTCATGTACGGTCTCTTTCACACTTAGGGGAAACCTCGGTGCGCATTGCATTGTGATGCGACCAGCACTACAGACGCGTGCCATCAGCAGCTCGTGCAAGCTCAGACACTTGAGGGGCGTGCCATTGAACCGCATTGTCTGCGACAGCGGTGCGCGCTGGCCACGATGTCGGGCAGCCTGCTGATTTCATCACTGCTGTGGGAACTAGGCCGATATTCTGTACTAAACGTTGTGCGATGCCAACCTCTCAGCCTTCATTGGCAATAATGGGGTTCCAGAAACAGGGTTTCACAGCATATGCTGCATGCTTTTTTCGAAACGCCATGGTATCGAGTGCATTCACGAATATTTTTTTCTTTGTGTGTGAACCACAGTATGCTGCAACGGGGAATACCATGATAAGCACATACCACGCGTGGCATTTATTTAATGTCAAAAAAGAAAACGAAGCACTCGACAGTAACTGCCGTGCAGCTATGCACGTTCAACACAATAAAACAAATGAGAACGAGTTTAGGAATGCTGTAGGTTGAAGAAACCAACTGAATGTGCTTCTACTAACATTACTTGAGGCAGTACTCACTCGCCGGCGCCAGAACGCACGCATGAAGCTTCCAACTTCCCTCAATACCCCAACATGACCCCAACGGAAGTGATGTCAGCGCTCATTTTGGACAGCAGTGAGAGGTACTGTGACATGATGAGAAATATCAGCCCAGTACCTGACAATGCAGCCAGCACGCGCTGCCGTAGCCAGCAACACGGTTCAGATGTTCAACAAAATGTCCCCCAAGCGTCCGTGCACGCGTGAGCTGTTTACGGCGCACGACTTCCATCGCGATGCGACGCACAAGATTTCCCCCAAGTGCGAAACAGACTGTACACTCGATCAGATGCACACTAGATCAAACTGAAACTATAGCCTAAATTTAGTGAAGGTGTCAATACAATCCGAATAAAATATTGGTGTACGTATGATTCTTCTACAACTTTTCTACGTACCTGCACAGCAAGATGTACTTCATGTTGTATGAAAGGACATCATAGAAGGCATTTGTGCGTTTCCCACAAGTATTTCCTGGCTGCTAGCATGGCACATGCAGGCATAAAACTGCACAATTCTAAGTTCCTTTGCTTAATGTTAAACTCAGCTGCGGTCATCAGAAAGCATTTCTGCAGTATGTCTTAGATTATGTGCCACAATACTGTGAGTTTGCTGTGAAAGAGCATTGCTGGGAAAAGCCTACTATTTGCAAATCTACCCCAAAGTACTACTATTCGCAAAGCCCCACAAAAAAAAAAGTGCAATATTTATAGAGAAGAATGCAAGAGTCTACACTAGTCATGCTAATACATGCCAATAACAGTCCCACATTTGAGCAAGATTAGCATGGCATGGACTTACAGTGTCACGCCACTAATATGACATAATAAGATGCAAATAGCCATTAGAACAACATTCTAACAGATGGTAATTTTACGAGCGCACAAAAGCACCCATGTACTTAAAGAAGCCAACACAAAAATTTTGCACCTTGTTCATCTTTTATTAGTATTATTATCATTTTTTGCAATAGACAGCTTACAGCGCACTTATCACTGTTGGAAACCTCGTTTTGATGAGTGTGAGCATTTATTTAGAGATAGTTTTTAGAGTGCCCAGTCGCAGAGCACCGAGCTAGGCAGTAGCTGTTCCAGCAGCAAGGTAAACACAGCTGGTCATGTGACCACGCAAGACAGTGACGTGGGCGCTGCACTGACAGCCAGCCCACGCAAAGATGCAGGCACGGAAAAAAAAAATCGCAGGTAGCGCAAGCAACCATCCAATACAAACTCGTGACATAGGTTTGTATACATTGCTGCCGCATTGATGTTGGCATCATGAGGGGATCAGCATTACACTCAGTCATGCAGCGTGCAATTTAGGATTGATTTTAAATATGTTCTAAACTGTAGTTGTCCTTGCTATTGCATAGATATTGTGTATGTCTCCCCAAAAATCTATATCACTCATTGTCTTGCCTTCAAAATTTTGTGTCTGTGCTCTTTTAAGAGATTGCTGGTTTCACAATAACTGCAAATGAGATACTCAATCGTTTGCGATACAAGTCGTGAAAGCTTACTATAAGTACCACTTCATAAAGCCTTTTAACTCTGAACATAATCACAGAAGTTCTTGGAATGCAGAAACAGAAGAGGAGGACAAGCACTTTGCATTGAATGCACGAAGCCCACAGTTCTGTACCACATTTAGCACTTTTGCCGTGGACTGATGTAATGCTTCCACATTTTGTGGTATACAGTAGTCCTGACAAAATATTTTGCAGCTTCTGTGTACTACAAAGTTCTGCCACTGGCTGTACATACTCGAGCAATGTTTCAAAAACTGTAAATTCACTAGTTATCAAAGCATGATTACAAAAATCCTGATGATGCTAGTCCCTATAAATGCCCCTTAGAGGGATGCTGAATCCATGTATTGAACCACTTCAGACCAATAAATTATTTTTTTGGAAAATCTGCGGTTAATCTTTTCATAGGGGTTTCTGTACAAGAAAAGAAAATGAAAGTCAAAGCTTCACTTTTTGAAGCAAAGTGTCGGTATGGTCCAGTTGGTATTCCGTTCCGAGAGTGATTACAGCGCAAGAGAAGACACAGAAAAACGACCAACGAAGACTTTTAAAATTGGGGCCTATGCTTCGGCACATTAATTACACATGCACTACTCCTCGAAAAAAGAGATCGTTCGCTTCATAAAACTACAAAATAATCGAGAGCACTCAGAGTCAATTAAAGCTGAAGTCACGGAGCAGGGTATCGGTATGTCGAATTCTATTATATATATATGTATTCAGTGGACATTTGTGTGAAACAAAAAACTGCCAGAACTAAATCTTGCTGCCATTAAATCTGGCCCTGAAACTTTGGGCCCTTAGTAGATACTCAATGAGGTGTAACAGACATACAACTGTACGTACTAGTCAGCACAAGCAGAGTGATCTGAAGGGATGCACAGGTGCACATATCGGAACCACTATATAACCGATCAAACGCAGCTGGCAAACAAAAGTGGTGTGTATAGCAGGTTTCAGTGTATGTGATTTTTACAGGGAGTTTAGATGTTCAGCTGAATACGGCACGCATGCACAAACATCTGCAAGCACACTGCAAAATATGCAGAACATGCTTCCTGTACATAAGGCAACGCAATATAGTAGCAAAAAACAATGCAATGCTTACAGGTGTGCCTTCTGGAGTTCCTTTTGCTTTTGGAGATTAACATCGTTGAACTCGAGTACGCGGCTTTCAGGAACCCACTCGTCCCAACTGAAATTGTGATAGAGTCAGGTAAATGCTGGTGAGTGATTTGATGTGTTTTATGCCGGAAATATACTGATGGTTTTATGAAAAAAAAAAGAGGATTATCAAGGTATAGGGCAACCAAGAAAAATGATACATAAAATATAGCAAAGGCATCTTAGAGATGTTCTGCTTTCACACATGCTGCAAGATCCAGGTTGTTGTGTTACTGACACTCCAATGTCTGTTTGAGACTGCAAATGCTTCACAATGAGCAGTAGAAGTGTTTATCTACAGGCATGTCTATTCATATGCTTCAGTATATCCGAGCGTTCAACTTCCAACATTCTAAGTTACATCCGACGCACGTTTTTGTATGCAGGGCCACCATCTACTAACTCTTCTGGATGGCCCCGTAAGGCTGCATTGCTGAGTGTTCGCGGTGATGGCTTATCGAAGATTACAGCATGTGACAGCATGTTCTCATTGACACCCTTGTCACACAACCGCTTTGGAGTCTCGTTGCAGACTGCATTGATGGCTTTTTTTTAATTTCAGATTTGATAAACCAAACCGCCCTTCTTCAAGTAAACTACAATGTAGAACATTCCTGTTTTCCCGACTGCTTCAGAGTAAATGTGGAGGCTATTTTCAACGTCGGGATCACCTGGATGGCGCAAGCCACGTGAATGAGTGACTACAACTTTACAACAGTCGAATTTTCCATTGTGGCTGCAGCCTGAGGACGCACAGCCTAGCGGATAAAAAAAAAGCAATATCGAGGCAGGGTCGGTCCGAATGGAATGCGATGCGCGCGTCTCTCTCCCTGCATAAGTAGGGGGATTGTGACCGTACTACACGGGGTACGCGCGCTGGCATCTGTTTTCTGCGTTACGGCCACTGTTAGCGAACTAGGGACAGCGCAGTGCAACAAACGCAGCTCCATCTCCAGTGTAGGCGCTGAGGTTGCACTGGACCATTGTAAATTTGTACTCACTCACGTGGCTTGCGCAAGAGGCTGGTCCTATGTTATCGATCGTGAGTGTTCTTACTTTTTGTTCCAGCCCCTGTAGTGGATAAAGTACATGGTTTGCTCGTCTTTAACCTGAGCCATGATGCACTGTAACAGAAATCAAACGAAAGGCATTGCTTCACTATGATGTGGATCAAAAGGCCAGCAGACGTCAAAAGCACTCACCTTTGCTACGTACAACAGAGGCCCGTGAAAGCACAGAACCTTCTCACCTAGAAAAGAAAGAAAAAGAAAGGACAGCAAGTATTAAGCCCACTGCTGCGCTCAACAACTAAGAGGTACGACACAATATAAAAAAAAAGTAACGCGGCGATCTTGCGGGAATGTCGCATACAACAGTGCCACTAAAAAAAAACTTAGCTAAAAATTCACATCAGAACGTGAACAACTTATACGGAGACCAAGTCATCCTCATTATGACAAAGGTAGCTCACCACAGCTCTGCGCAAGACTGAAAACGGTTGCATGCCGACAAATAACGACAACTTAAGAAATAACTGGTTCTCTTACCATCTTGAAACCTAGCTTTCGACGCCATGTATAATACCGCCGACACCGACAGATTGTATAATATTCTAGTACACTATAAAGATAGAGACGAGACTTTCGAACCTAGACAATAACGTCAATCTCGGCGGCAAAAAAAAAATTGATGCACAATGTTGCCCACTAATAAGTAGCACTCGTTTTGCGCACGCGCAAGAAATCTAGGGACGTTTGCGTCATAGACTCTATGCAGGATGGATGGATGGGTATGGCTGTCCCCTTTAGTTCGGGCGGCGGCTACCGCTATCTAGCCGTAATACTTAGTAACCTAACCATTAGATTTATCTTTTTTTATCCTTTAAATAGTGAGGTTGAGGATTCGTACTTTGCAGTGAAGGTTTTATTTTCAGAAGAGAAGGTAGGGCGCCATAGTAGCCGTTACCGACTGTAAGTCGCAAGACAATCCAAGATCGATTGTTGGCAGTGTGGCAGCTTCGGCTAGTTGGTATGCATGACGATATTTATAGCGCGAAAACAAAACGACGACACAGAGACAAGAAGCTCGTGTCTTTCGTGTCCTTCTTGTCTCTGTGTCGTTGTTTTGTTTTCGCGCTCTAAATATCGATTGTTGGCGTTGTGCCAGTTGTGCGCTTTCATACGTATGTTAGTTACGCGCACTTAAATCGCGTTCTGAACCAGTTGTTTAGAGACAGCAGAAAGACTTACTGAGTAAAGCAGTTTTGAAATTTCAGAATGTCCACTTTTGACTCGACGAAGCCAGCCGATAGCTCTGAAAGTGAAGACGACGACTACGTTCCATCGGGTACGTGCTGCCGAGCTCGAGACTCATTCTCTCGTATCTTGGCCAATTCCCCGTAGAGGGTAGGAACCACTTTTAAGGAACAAGCAAGCTAGCAGGATGCGGCGAAATCGTCGCAAGCGCAGTCTGTAGATCATATACGTCTTATGTTATCTTTGTAGGCAATCGATGCTTACACTGTTTTGTACTACTGCTCTGCTATAGCGCGGCGGCCGGTTTCTGTCATTGTTGCTCTAGATTCTACATTCTGTTGTGTTGCCCCGTGAAACTTATCGTCACATAATGTCACAACTTAAACATTAGTGTGCGTACTGATGTCACGCGGTTTACTAGAGTGACAGATTGTATGTTTACCTTTGCGTATCGTAATTTGAATACTTTTCAGCCGAGGAGAGCGAAGGCGATGAGTCGGATGCCGAAAACGACGCTAGGAGTGACGCCGAGGTACCAGCTGGAAAGAAGCCTAAAAGGACAAAGAAAAAAACATTTGTCGAGGTGAGAATCTAGCCGTATGAAAATAGTGGCTTCTGAATTTGTGTTATTAACAAAATACCCACTAAAAATAATCATATTAGGGTAGTACCGCCCAAAAGGCATAATGACAGTTGAAAAGACACAGAAATCTCTGCACTTAACTGTGTCCACTCGTGAACCATTGTTCAGACAGAGGCTTAAATGGCCCCAGACCTCCTCAAGGACACAAGCCTACAGTGAACGTGAAGCTCCCAAAACTTTAGACGTGGATAACGTTAGGCCAGTTGGTGGGGCATTGTACAAAAACTGAGCTTTCTGACACGGGCACGAAAGGTAGACACACACAGCATTGTGTGTCTACCTTTCTTGTTCATTTCATAAAACACTGTTTTTTCACTTAGTACAATGCAAGAACCTTTCAGGACGATGTTACAGTGGCAGTGTTACGGGCATTTAATGACCAACAATGCGGCTGCCACTCGTTTGGCGACTTATTTTGCTACTCTCGCACCATGTTCACTCTCTCCTACTTACAGTGTTCTCTGTTGTCCTTTATGAAAGGGAGCACGTGGCTGGCGCTTTGCGGTGGCCGCTAAAGCGATAAAAAGCATGTTCACTTTCACAGTCTTCTATCGACGAACAAAATTGCCGGTCTCGAGGCGCACGCTTGCCTTCGGACTGGCTGTGGCTGGCAGAAGTGCTGCTTGATACGCTCCCACTCTGATAGCGCAATCGGCGATACCTGCAGCGCGTCGTCTTCTGCAAACAAATCAAGTGTGGTGCACGAATACAGTATATACGTAGAAGCACTGTCGCTCGCAACTCGCTAGAAGTGCAATTCGCTTACGCCAGTTGCGCTTCAACGAAACTAGACATGCCTAGGTGAGAGGGATGCATTTGGGCTGAGGCGTGGTTGTAGTTTTCATTTTGTGAAGTTGATCAGTGTACCCTGTGAAAATTGTCTTTCGAGGTTGAATCTCACTTACTTCGAATGTGCCCATCTGTCAGCGGAAAAAAAAAAAAGTACTTTGGCATTTCATATCTGTGCGCTTGCTGCTGCGACGCCAAGAATAAACCACCCTTACCATGGTGACAGCAAGCGAGATGTTGCGGGGTAAAGAAAACTTGAAGAAAAAAAAGTTTTATATGTTAGCAATCATCAGAGAAAAGTTGTAATCACAAAATGTCATGACACATATTATTATGCTTACATAAAAATAGCAAATATTTTTTTCTGTCTTGAACACCAAGGAAGTACAACTGCATTGTGTTGTTACGAGACACCTCTGAATACCTGGTGGCATCCCCATTTGTTGCGACAACAGCTGCCATTCTTTAGGACAGCGAGTTGTACAAGGCAGCCGTCGGTGACCTATCGCTTCTCAGCCACTGCCACTCCTCCTTTATGGCACCCCAGAGGTTGTCAGCAAAGGCCCCACCGCGTTTGTTTAGTGGCTAAGGAACTCAGCTGCTGACCCGCAGGTCGCGGGATCGAATCCCGGCAGCGGTGGCTGCATTTCTGATGGAGGCGGAAATGATGCATGCCTGTGTGCTCAGATTCGGGTGCACGTTAAAGAACCCCAGGTGGTCGAAATTTCTGGAGCCCTCCACTACGGCGTCTCTCATAATCATATGGTGGTTTTGGGATGTTAAACCCCACATATCGTCGTCAGGTTGTCAGCAAAGCCTTCGTGCAGAGACTGACTCGCTAGCACTGTTTTGAAGAGGCCCCGCACGTTCTCTATGATGTTGAGGTCTGGAGACTGGAGTGGCCAGTTGAGAGTGTTGATACCACGATCCTCGAAAAAGTTTGTTACCTTTTGGGATGTGTGAACAGGCGAGTTGTCTTGCTGTAATACCCTTGTCACTTGTAACAACTCAATTACACTTTGTGGGAGTCTACTTACGCTCACAAAGTGTCATTTTGGCGGTTTGCTGCTATGTAAGAAAGCGAAGTGTACTTTAGAAATGATGATAGTGGCAATTGACGGGTTTGTAGCGAAACATATATTTATTTTTGCGCCAATGTCTCATCGTCTGAACACGTCTTCATGGAAGAAGCACCAGTTACATACGCCATCGTAAACGACTGCAGAACGACTCGCCTACACATGTGCAAGTGTGCCTAGAAGTAAACAGCATAACACACGCAGCTATCGCACTGCATTTGCTACTGCATCCCCCTAGCGGGCGTTGCCGCAACCGGCTCGATCGTAAGTGTAGCGAGGATTTTGTTCATTTATGACTTGTTTTAATACATAGCATTATCCTTTGTAACGGAAACAGTAGTTTAAAAATAGTATGAGCGCAGCTTCAGGCAACAGCGTATTTATGTGTAAGCCATTGGTAGCGAGTGACACTAAACTTGTTCATGTGACAGTGCGCAAATGGCACTCGCAGCTATGTGTACTCGCTCAAAGTGCATTTAAGATGCCACGTGTCACAGGGGAATAAGACGTAATCGCCCTCTGGGAAAGGACCATTCAGGAACTAGAGCACCATCATGTCGTCCAGGATCAACCAGTAGCACTCGGACTGTGTACTATGTGGACTAGCGGACAAAGCCCTTTATTGATAACGAGACTCCATACGCACACTGCTGAATGGCCATTGGCCACCACTTGCTGGAGGTATTCTGATCTGTAACTGTATGAAAGCATCATTATATCGCCCATTCGCTGCTGATCAACAGTCACTTTACTTATCTTGAGTACACTTCATTTACGCCAACAATGTGTAACTCTGTTGGGTTACATAGTACGCATACTTATAAAATCTATCCATGTCTACCTAAAGTACTACTTTATGTTTTTAATCGTGTTCCTATACCATTAAACTTGCCCTTGTTTGTATTATCTCATCTTGAGACAGCACTTGGGCTGGCGGTGTGCCTCTGTCTGTGGCAGCAGTCAGCGTACTGGCACCTTTTCAGTGTCTATACTTTCAGGATATGCCAAGCATGCTTTAAATATGAACTAATACGAATGACGATAATAATGTTAGTGATAAAACCAAACACAGCCTTATAATAACACAAGTGATTATAATCATACTGCACCTTAAATATAAAATTCTTTAGTTTATATATGCGATATGAAACACTACAATACCGTAAAATGCATAAAAATGGCAATTCTCTGGTAGAGGTTTTTAAACATTTTTAGTTAATATTTTTACACAATAAACCTCACCTACCGACTGTTTCAATATTTTTACACAATAAACCTCACCTACCGACTGTTTCCTGGGGGCCACACTCTATGCCTCTGATCCCACCGGGTGGTGAACAAGTTCTTATCAGTGAAAACATTCTCCCAGTCAGAGGTAGTCCAAGGTTCGAGGTCCATTGCAAATCGCAGCTGTTTTGCTTGGTTTGTTTTTCGCATCAGAGTTTCCTGCATGCAACCCTCTATCTTAGGCCAGCTTCTGCGAGGCGATGCTTCGCAGTTATCGTGCATGCCCTAATACTCAGTTCCTATAGCATTTTACGAGATGTTATCAGTGGTCTCGCTGCTCTTGCAGCTACAAATGCATGGTCTTCATCCGCAGTCGTTGCCCGTGGTCTGCGCCTGTGTGGAGCGTCCTTCACACGGTGTTCTTTTTTTTAAAGGCCTACACTATACTATTTACTGTTCTAGGGGCCTTTTCATAATAGAGGCAATATGTCGCTGACTGCAGCCAGCAATGCAGAGCTTAACTTTTTCTCGTTCCTCAAGTGGAATGTGTCCCATCTTGGTGGTTCTCTTCCTCGTGGCTCACAAAAAAAAAAAAAAAAAACTGAACCAAGCACGTGCATATTACTTCATATCAAGTCATCAAGCAATGGATTGAGCTGGGCGAGTTGGTAATTCATAACTACAAAAATGCGCGAAAAAGCGACAAGAAATGTTAACCTGGTTGTTTCGTTCAGGAATAAGTTGGGCTAAGTCTGCACAGCGGTGGATAAGAAAATTGAAGGCATAGAAAAAAGTGGTGTGATTGTGAGGTCAGTCACCGGGAAACGCTTGTTGAATGTGGAATTGGTGCGGTGTATCTTATCCTCTTGTCTTGTGGTAAGTGCTATATTGGACAAACTAGACGGTGTTTGAATAACAGACTAATGGATCGCGAGGAATCGCTAAAGACCCACCCTTTGTCGAATATGCGCCTACATTGCAGGGATTGCAAGTGTTACCCATTACTTCGCAAAACAAGGGTGTCGTCCCGGCGCAGGGATAAAACAGCGAGAGAAGTTGCTGAGGCCTTTTACATACTAAAGTATGGCAACACGTGTGTTGCGAGGTGTTCAGTGACTTTGCACCAACGAGAGATAGATTATTTCACTGCCAACCTCTAATCTTTCACGTCATTTTTTTAGTGCTAGTTATATATGTGTATCCTTCAATAAACTTTCAGTTGCTAGTCTGCGCTTGTGTGTATTCCTGCTCTGTTTCTTGTCACTTTTTCGCGCAGTTTTGTAGTTGCAATGGATTGAGTATGCGAAAGTTTTCTCCCGCAGCATCGTCAAGCCCATGTGTTACTCGTGTAAACTAGTGCAGTCAGTGCTTTCTTTGTCTCAGTATTCCTAGATGTTCCTCGACATGAACTTGGTCCACCAACTCAACTGATAACAATGCTGCCGCTCGCCTGAAAACTGTGCAGCAGTTTTTAGGGAATTGGGGGCTGCACATAGTTTTGTATATACGTAGTGACAATGTGGAATCGCCACCATCGTTTACTTGATGTCCGCTTATGCCCTTGGACGGACATGCTTGAATTCTGAGATTAGTACCAGGCAAGGAGGTCTCAGTCTTTTCCTTAAGCGGCTTTCACGAGAAAATATCATTTCTGTATTTATTTACAACCCAGGGAAGATGACAGCTGAAGCTAAAGGACGTTCACATGAACATTCTCATCTTTGTTCACTGGAGAACTATAATGCTGCGAATCAGCTTCTTAGAAACATATTGATTGGTGGCTTATGGAAGTATACAAGCTCCAAGGAGAAGCCATGGAGCTTGGATGATACAGGATATCACTGAATGACACTCTGTATCATTCATTGATAAACAACCACCACACCTCCACCTGCATGCATCCCTCTCACCTGTACATCTCTGTTTTTGTCAAAGTGCAACTCACGTAAGCCAAAAGACTGTGCAATTACATGTAGCAAGTGCTGGCACACCACCCTGTATTTGTTCGCAGCAGACGATGCACTGCAGGCATCGCTCGTTGCATGATCGGAGCGGGAGCGTAATTCAGCAGTGCTTGTTTACGGGCCCTGACTGGTTATTTGGTTCACTAATAGATGACGGCAAAAATCAAACATGTTTTCTTTCGTTGTCTGTTGATGGTGCTGAAGGCGGCTGCCGCAGAGTGCCGGCCACGTGCTCACGTGTTCCCTTTCATAAAAGACGACAAAGTACATTTCAAGGTCTTGTGTGGGAACGTCTTTGTTCAGGCTGTTGCTGTTATAAAACGTTGTCCATTATTGATTAACATGCCTATGATCTTTGCTGTTACCCACTGTCGCTGTGTTCTTGCTCTGGCTATAGGTTTAAACTTGCCGTGGTAGTGCACCAGCTTTTAATGTCATGAAACGTCTCCTATGTGAGAGATGCTTAAAGTACACTTTGCCAGCATGAGCTAATTATCTGTTCAGTGTCCATTCAGAGCTCCAGCGCATCTCCACAAGTGGCCACAAAAACATTTATTACAGTTTCTCCTCCAGACAAAGTACTACCCACTATAATCATCATTCTTTGCCTGTCCTATGGCCACTGCTGAAGTAAAGCCTCTCTCAATGATATCTAATTCACCGCGTCTTTTGCGAGTTTGTTCCATTTTATTCCTGTGAATTTCTTGATTTCATCACCTCACCCTATTCATCGCTGCCCTCAGCTATGTAACTCACCCCTCCCTTAGTATCCATTCTGGCTTCTTTAACTTACTACTAATTGTGCGTCCTACGCATTTCGTGTCCCACCCTTTGCATTTGCTTTTCCCTCCTTAATCTCAATTAGAATATTGGCTATGCCTGTTTACTTTCTTATCTACCCTAACGTGACGAGCCAGCGCCCCGCCCCCACTGCTTATTTCAGATCTGAAGTAAGCGTTAATGGGACCAGTCCGGCTCTGAGCAAGTGCCCCCCCTTCCAAATCTAGTTGGATTATCTTTCACCATGGGGGGGGGGGGGGGGGGGGTGCTCAGCATTTTGCGGTATTGTCTCTTCCATTCCATTCCATCGCTCACTGCTTGGTCGTTTGCTTCTACAGCGGAGCTGTATGTAACTAAGCCATTCGTAATTCTGCCAACAGTCACCTACGTCGCAGCTACCTATTCAACAGAAAAATATCGTCATCATAAATGGCCCCAACCTTCAGTTAAAAAAAAAAAAATGATCGTAGCCATGCAGACTAAGCCCAAACATCAGCTGGCTAACTGTGCGAATTGGTTGGCATTACTGCGACCCTGAGAGTAATATCAAGTATGAACGTATTATAAGTCCATAGTTACCTACCACAAAACCCCTAGCAGGTGTGTGCCACAGAAATTGTGAACCCCACCACTCACCACTGGTCCTCTCAACATGAAAGTTATAAAAATGAAATTGACAAAACGTATCTAAATACACAAGTAAACCCACGTTCTGCTCTTCTGGCCCTGTGAATTGAAGTGGAATTGCTTTAAAAGAGCATACGCTAAAGTAGAAAATTATAAATCTATTTATAAATAAATGAAAAATAAGTGTGCTAGACAGCAGCTATGCTGGTCATCCACTTTCACAGAGTGCAATGGCTCATTAATTTTTTCAAGATTATTTGTTATCTTTCAAGTTTCAGCCTCAAATGTTTGAACTGGCAATAGGTTGTGATTGTGCATTTTTCGCTTTATAGACAGTGGTAAATTGCCTGCCATAATTTGGGATGTCTTGTCATAAGCATTCCAGCCTATTCTTTTTGGTATTTTTTTTTTTTTTTACTGTTGTGATCATCAGTCTGACTACATCTACTGCAGGACAAAGGCCTCTCCCATGTTCCGCCAATCAACTTGGTCCTATGCTTGCTGCTGCTAATTTGTACCTGCAAACTTCTTAATCTCATCTGCCCACCTAACCTTCTCTCTCCCCCTAACTTGCTTGCCTTCTCTGGGAATCCAGTTAGTTACCATTAATGACCAGCGGTTATCCTGTCTACGCGCTACATGCCCAGCCCATGTCCATTTTCTCTTCTTGATTTCAACTATAATATCCTTAACCGCCGTTTGTTTCCTAATCCACTCTGCTCTCTTCTTGTCTCTTAAGGTTACACCTATCATTTTTCTTTCCATTGCTCGCTGCGTCGTCTTCAATTTAAGCTGAACCCTCTTTGTAAGTCTCCAGGTTTTTGCTCCCTAGCTAAGTACCGGCAAGATACAGCTGTTATATACCTTCCTCTTGAGGGATAGTGGCAATCTGCCTCCCTTCTTTATTTCAACTATCATATCCTTAACCCTGGTTTGCTCCCTACTCCACTAGGCTCTCTTCTTGTCTCTTAAGGTTACACCTATCATTTTTTTTTCCATTGCTCGCTGCGTCGTCCTCGATTTAAGCTGTGTTGGCTCTTTTTTTAGGTATTGACCTTGGTATACATACCCCTGCCCACTGTGAGGATGCCGACATTGAGGCGATTGGGAGCAGGAAAACTGATGTAGGCACCAAGGTGTAGCCACAGCAAATGCCCCTCTGTAGGAAATTCACCATGTCACCGGCCAGCTGCTATAAAAAATGGGTCCTAAAATCCTACCTTTGACAGGCAGGAAAATAGTGCCATTCGCAAGCAAAACTGCTAATATATTTACAGGAGAGTTTTACAAATTTTCAGAACATTTAGTATACTATTAAAAATTTCTTGTAACTACTCAATGACTACGTGTTTAGGATGCTTAAAATAAGTGCACTTTCTGATAGATTATCGATCCATGTGCCAGTGAGATATTGAAGAAAGTTAATGGTTGGTTTATGTGGTTTGGTGTCTAAAAGTGACCCACTTTTTGACTGACCCCTTGGTGTAAGCCACCAGATAATTTGACCCACCCGGGGTTCTTTAATGTGCACTGACGTCAGATAGTACATGGGCTAGTCGCATTTCGCCTCCATTGAAATGTGATCACTTCAGCAGGGATAAAACCATTAAGTCCGCAGCTATGTATCATATCTCGTTGTATTACCACGGCACATTGAAAATTGCTAATGAAACTGTTCATAATTTGTTAGAATTCAGTTTACTTTGCTGTTTACTACATTCATTTGCATAATTCTAACTGTTCTATGGCATGTGTATGTCCTTTCTTTCTTCTTCCAGGAAGTGTAAGGGTGGAATCTATTTGGAGGGTGAAGCTAGTCCAGCTCACAGAAGTCCTGATAAAGCAAACGATGCCGAGGAGCTAGTTCCTGCACTCAACCCGGACGAGGAAAAGAAGCGAGCAGATGATCTGTGGTCTGATTTCTTGCGTGATGTTGAACCTAATCCTAGGAAACGCATTGTTCCTGCTGCAAGTGTTGTCTCTGTAAGTTGCTTGTCTTAGCATTCAATGCTGAAACTGAAACATTTTACTAAATATTTTATAGAAGTTTATGGAGACACAAGCTCAGGTTCTTCATTTTTCAGTGGAAGATGTTGTAAGGTCATAACAGATGATTTGGGTGGCGTAGTTGTCCGCTGTCTCCACAATTGACTGTGTAATTCATTCACAATGAAAAAAATTGTCCAAAATCAAGTGGTATTTGAATCCAGGCCCCTTGCGTGGCAGTCATGTATTATACTACAAAGTACTACGCCAGCGCTTAAAGGGGCCCTCGGAACACTATTGAAGCACGTATTTTTTATCCGGGGTTTGCGTAGACCGATAGCTGGAGATTATTTTAGCGTGGGTCCAAGTGCCGATATCACATGATTTAGTATTTTAATCACGCAATAAAATCACTACTGCCGACCGAATTACCACGTAGTGGCGCTCGCCAGAACTTTGCCGGCGGAAATGACGCGGGAAGGTTGCCGCTATATCATTGGATAGATGTAACAGAAGCGATCGTGGTGTAGGATCAAAACTGATTTTCGTTTTTCTTCTGTGCTTTTTCATCGAACCCTGAACAGACGCGGCCACAACAACAACAAAAAAACGCGACTACAAAGCACGACAGGGACGCTAGCTGCCATTTAGCCTCTGAATTTTTGGCTTGTGCGGGTCGGATGTATATACGAAAGACCTCTCTCTTTTTCTTCCCTCTTCTTGCTTTTGGGAGTTTGCAAGCTGCCTCTTTCCGCACGTGTGCAGTTGAAAGGGTGCAGTGCACCATTGTTGTTCGTTGAGTGGCTCACCAAACAACGCGCGTAGGGTCAACAATACTTCACTGTCTTGGTATTTCAACAAGTTACTTTCTCAGAATAAAAGGAGAGATTGACTCGGAATGTTGTAAAAAACAGCAGAAAATACCTCGCTTCGACACAGTAGCTCCTGCTCACATTTTGGCAAACCAGGTGTCAGGCACCACGCTTGTTACTGTGGCAACAAGGTCAACATGACTTTGGAAAAAAAAAGCAACAGTGGGGTGCGAGCTTCCCCTACGTAGGCACTTCCAGCTTATTTCATTGGGGCAGCCTTCCGACGTCATGGGTCAGTGAAATGTTGTCAAGTTACCCGCGAAAATTGAGTTGAGGGCCAGCGTTTTTTTTTTTTTTTTTTCAATTTTCGAAGTCGAATAACTTCAAATTGCGTGCTATTACCACTGCCATTTTCGCTGCATTACTCTGCCTGCACTTCAGTCTACATAACCCACGAATAAAACATGAGGGGTTAAAGAGTGTTGGAGGGCTCCTTTAAAGCTCCTTTGCAAAAAGATCCTATACAGGCATCATGTCGAGCACAGAATGACATTAACCGAAGTAATGTAGCATAGTAGAGGAGCAAAATAATGACCAGGTGTCACAATATGCAAATGCCACAACTGGTGGTTGGTTTGAAGCTTCCCACTCATAACAATGTGCTTTTCCGTAATTCATCAGCTACAGCATGAACGAGGTGCACATGATGACTTACATACCATGTTTACACGATTGCAGGTCGACCCATTTTGTCCTTTTAATTTTGAAATCCACAGTTAGGGGCTCTACCTAGTACAGACAACTACTCCCGGTTACCAAGTCACATCTACGACAGAGCTATTCATTCATAGGAGTTGCGAAATTCTCCATAGGCTCCATGCATTGAAACTTTTGAAAGCGGGACACTTCACTGACCCAGTCCTTGGGAGTGAGCAAATTGTCGCTTCACCTGTTGATAGGCACACCCACTATTAAGCGCAATATTTGTGTTTTGTGTTGCTGCTGCCAGATGGCACCGCAGTCTGCTCCCAAATAGAGATAATGTATATGCTACCTTAAGGTAGCGGAGTTACGTATACCTTTTCCTCCCGCCACTCGCGCCGCTATTGGGCGACCGCTGTCACGTGTTGCAAAGTGATCTCAAATGTTCCATTTCACACGGCGAAGCCAACTATACGTGCACGATGGTACGGCACCCGCGCGTTCTCTGCCCGCATCGACTTCAGTCTCATTGTTACAACCGTTAGGGGCTTTTAGCATGTACTTATACGACATGCGTTACGATGTTACCAGATATAATCTGCGCATGCACGAGTTTTTACAGAACGTAAACCTTTACGCAACATAAACTACTCGCTGGGTAGGCTTTACGTTTGTGGCGCTGTTTCGCAAATTCACCTTCGCTCGTAGGAACTCGCAATATCCGCATTGCGGAGACTCCACACATCCTGTCACAACAAGCCAAGTGTGAGCGTCAATAGTGATTGCATTGTTTCAGCCGAATTGTTAAAGGTAATATGGCCAGAACATTGAAGCCGCAAAAGTGTCAGCCCCCGACAGACCAGATAGGTGGCACCATCTAGCAGGGCCAAAAGAAGGTAATCACAAAAATGTTATTGCAGAAATGATGTGCATCGTACGTCTGGCGCAAAAAAACGTGCTGCAGAATTATTACGAATGAGTTACTTTTTAAAAAAATAATTTTCACCTCATTTAAGTAATAGTTGAGTTTAATCCCAAAACCACCATATTATTATGAGCGGCGCCGTAGTGGAGGGCTCCGAAAATTTCGACCACCCGGGGTTCTTTAACATGCACCTAATTCTAAGCTTACGGGCCTCAAGCATATTCGCCTCACTGCAACAGGGCAGTCATGCTCATTGCGCGCGAATAAGTCTGCGGCACGCCGCGCAGTTGCGCTGGCACATCGCGCCGTATTTTTCTCTTGAGCGCGCGATGAGTGGCTTCACTGCACAGCCAATAAACATAATGGCGGCACTATGCGCAACTTTGCTCCCATAGGGAGCATATACAGTAACTCTACTCCCCAAAACTTGAACTCCAGAAAAATCGGGCCAACTTCAATGTCCGGGTTTTCGAACGCAGTTCTTTTGCAAATCGTTGTTGGCTGCGAGTCCAGCGACTGAGCTGCGAAGAAACATGGGCACCGGGTAAACAAAAAACAACCAGTCATCGCAGCAAGAGGAAGTGTGTTGCGACTCATCAAGTTCGCCGATGACGTCGATCGCTGAGGTCTTACCACATTGCCGAAGTGGGCAAAGTCACGACGACAGGCCACGCCTTCTCCTTCCGGGTGGCGAGACTGCGCGAAAATTTAAATTAGCTGTATGCGATGTTCTAGCCCCTGTAACTTGCTTAAAATAGCACGTATTCGAGAAATTCTTGCGGCAACAATTTTTGGACCTTGGGTTTGTTTACTGGCCTTTTAAGGCATTTATTTGTCTGTGTTCTGTTGTTATGTAAACATAGAATTATACACTGACCCTTTAAGGCATTTATTTCTCTCTGTTCCCCGCAGGGGCGCCTGTGAAAGCAGGCGTTTGGTGTGTAGCGACACCACGGACCCGAGCTAACGGGGGGGGTTTCGACTTCCTCCCACGCGCAGCCGTGCGTGGCTTTGCCGTGTCCGGGGAAAAGGGGATCCTGGGGGTTGAGCCGACGCTTGGTGATTGGACCGTTAAGGCCCCCCGGCAGAGGCAACACACCTCTTTGGCCCCGGCTTCACGTAGACGGCACCCCTGGGCTGACCCACCCAGGAGAAATTGGCAGTCGCCTTCTCCTATCTCTCTCTCCCTACATCTTCGTCTTTATCTCTTATATTGATCTGTCCTGTCTTCTACTGTCTTCCGTTTACTTCCAAACTTCCTGGCGGCTAGGGTTAACCCTGTGCAAATAGCCTACCTTGGTCTAGGCGCATTGGGTTATAGTGGTGTTGTACGGCTGGCGTCTGCAGTTTTCAGCATCTGTAAACTTGTAGCGTCTTCTCGTTGGGCTCCTTGGTGGGTGGCCGCCAACGCTGCTGAACAAAAATAAGAAAGGCATGCATAGAGCATTCCCCCTACTGTCTGATCGTACCGGCTTAAAGCGGGTACGCACCTATGATATAAATTTTTTCAACCAGCCAAAAGAAACATATCCTGACTTTCATGTTATCCACTGTGAAAAAACTGAAAAGCAAGCCAGGACCGTCTCTCCTTTCCTAGTTTCTAGATGTCTCACCGAAACTCTTGGCATAGGATACAAGGTAACCAAATTGGCTAGTGGAGACCTTCTCCTCGAAATCCGCGACAAAGAACAATAAGAAAAGCTAGACCGTCTTTCAGATTTCGGTGGCATACCAATAACCATAACACCACATAGATCAATGAACACAACTCGCGGAGTCGTATCTGACATGGACTTACTTGACTTGACTGAGACTGAACTTTTGGAGGGGTGGAAGAGCCAAAATGTCACTAATGTACAGAGAATCATCATCAGGAAACACCGACAAAACACTTAATACTCACGTTTGCATCCAGTAAACTACCGGAATCTATTCAAACAGGGTACACGAAGACATCTATCAGGCCGTACATACCAAACCCTCGTCGTTGCTTCCAAGGCCAGAGGTATGGCCATGGCTCTAAAACCTGTCGTGGTCGCCAGACTTGTGCACATTGTGGAGTCCTAGGCCACGTGTCTGAGAACTGCAATCAACCGCCACACTGTGTAAACTGTGAAGGAAACCATGCCGCATATTCACGCTCCTGCACATACTGGAAAAAAGAAAAAGAAATAATTACATTGAAGGTGAAGGAGAACATTACATTTAAGGAAGCACGGCGAAGAGTCGCTCCACTCTATGGATCTACATACGCTGATGCGGCGCGTCAGGGGGCACCGCCGCACCAGCCCTCGCCACACCTTCGGCCCGTGCATACTGAGCCGGTGGTTGTGGCACCTGCCCCTAAGGCGGCTGTAGCCCAGGCTACACCGCCTACTCCCAAACAGAGACCGGAGACTCCAGAGTCCTCGGGTCTCAAGGCCTCACCTCACCAGACGAGGCCCGAAATTCGTACTAACAGCCTGCATGTGCGGGCATCCAGTGCCTTCGAGGAGGCAATGGATACATCGGTACCCTTGGGGCCGAAAGAGCGGCGTGGCTCCTTGGAGCGCGCCAAGAAAACAAAAAAGCAGATAACAGGGCCTGGTGACGGCCCTGTTAAGTGAACTCAAACTCCCTGTATAAACAGCCACTCGCTTTTCGTACACACAGCACTATTTTACATTCATCATGAACACTCCAATTATACAATGGAACGTGAGGGGCCTTCTCAGAAACCTTGACGACATCCAAGAACTCTTACACGAACACTCACCAAAAGTGCTATGTGTACAAGAAACACACCTTAATTCAAAACACACAAATTTTCTTCGTAAATACGTTATTTTCCGAAAGGACCGTGTTGATTCCATGACATCATCCGGAGGTGTTGCCATCATAGTGAATCAAGGAATTGCATGCACACACTTACAACTCCAAACATCCCTTGAGGCAGTGGCTGTTCGAGCAGTTCTTTTTGATAAATTGATCACAATCTGCACTATTTACATTCCTCCTAGCTATCGGCTGCAAAAAACCTGATTTACACTCTCTAATTGATGAACTTCCGGAGCCTTATGTTCTCCTTGGAGACTTTAATGCGCATGGCAGGCTATGGGGTGACTCGGTATGACGCGCGAGGTCGACTGATCGAACAGTTCCTTCTCTCGTCGAGCGCGTGTCTCCTGAATTGAAAAGAACCAACTTATTATAATCTCACTAATAACACCTACTCCTCCATAGACCTAAGCATAACATCTCCATCTCTTGTGCCTCTACTCCAGTGGAATGTCGTCAGTAATCTGTACGGAAGTGACCACTTCCCCGTAGTTTTGAGCACAACTACAATAACTGAGTGCCCACCACGTGTTCCCAAGTGGCTCATAAATAGAGCCGACTGGGAACAGTTTTGTACCATCGCTCGTCTAGGTTGGAATGACATATGTACTTTGAACATTGATCTTGCTGTCAACTACTTCACAGCCTTTTTGATTGATGCTGCACAAAATGCATCCCACAAACAAATGGACACCCTGGAAAAAGGCGTGTGCCATGGTGGAACTCTGAATGCCGAAACGCGCGCAAACAGCAAAACAGAGCTTGGAGGCTGCTTCGGAACTCACCGACAGCCGAAAATCTCGACACTTTCAAGAAAATAAAGTCTCAAGGCAGGAGAACGCGTCGGCAGGCCAGAAGGGAAAGCTGGCAGAAGTTTTTGTCAGCGATCAATTCATACACACAGGAGGCTAAAGTCTGGAACATGGTCGGTAGGATAGCAGGAAAACAAGTACACATACTTCCACTCGTAAACACTCAGAGTGATACCTTGGAAGATCAGGCAAACTTCCTCGGTGCACACTTTGAACAGGTGTCCAGCTCATACCACTATACTGACACTTTCCAAAAATACAGAACAAGAATAGAAAAGCAGAAACTCGAACACAAAGGCACTAGATACGAGGCATATAACCAAGCTTTCAGTCTAGCTGAGCTGCGAACGTCTCTAAACTCCTGCAGTACTTCTGCCCCAGGTTCTGAACGTGTGGTGTATGAAATGTTAAAAAACCTACCAATCGAAACACGAAAAACCTTACTTTGTTTGTACAATGCTATCTGGTTTTCTGGCACTATCCCTACCTCCTGGAAAGAGGCTATTATTATTCCCATTTTGAAAGAGGGCAAGGACCCTTCTTTACCTTCGAGTTATAGGCCTATTGCACTTACAAGCTGCTTGTGCAAAGTCTTCGAAAAAATGATAAGCTGCCGACTTGTACATATCCTTGAAACAAACAATTTGCTCGACCCATTTCAGTGCGGGTTCTGAGAAAGTAGATTCACCACAGACCACCTTGTTCGTATTGAGGCACAATAACAACAATATAAACAATATTTTCTCTCTGTATTCCTCGATATCAAAAAGGCTTATGATACAACATGGCGTTTTGGAATTCTAAGAGACCTGTCCCACCTTGGCGTGCGCGGAAGAATGTTTCACATAATCGAAAATTACCTGTCAAACCGGACATTCCATGTCCGAGTGGGCATGGTTCTTTCCCAATTATTTGTCCAGGAAACAGGCATGCCACAAGGTGGTGTACTTAGCTGCACACTTTTTCTTATCAAAATGAATTCCTTGTGCTTGTCCATTCCTCGCAATATGTTTTATTGTACATATGTCGATGACGTCCAGCTTGGCTTTAGATCTTGCAGTCTGGCAATGTGTGAGCGGCAGGTTCAGTTAGGTTTAAACAAGGTCTCCAAATGGGCAGAGGAAAACGGATTCCGACTGAACCCACAAAAAAGCATGCGTGTCTTGTTCTCCCGAAAGACAGGCATGCACTCAGAACCCGACATTGAACTGAACGGTCAACGTCTGTCTGTTAATACAAAGCATAAATTCTTAGGATTAATCTTGGACAACAAGTTGACCTTCGTACCGCACATCAAGTATCTAAAAACAAAATGTTTAAAAGTCATGAATGTTTTAAAAGTGTTGTCACGTACTAGGTGGGGTAGTGACAGGCAATGTCTCATGAACCTATATAGAAGCCTCATTCGCACCCGCTTAGATTATGGGGCCGTTGTTTATCAGTCTGCGACTCAAAGTGCTTTGAAGATGCTGGACCCCGTGCACCATTTGGGCATCCGCCTTTCTACGGGTGCTTTTCGCACCAGCCCCGTAGAAAGCCTTTATGTTGCGTCAAATGAGTGGTCGCTTCATCTGCAGAGAACTTACATGTCCTTTGTTTATTTCCTTAAGGTAAAAGCAGACAAGAAGTACCCCTCATACTCTACTATTAATGATTTGTCGAGCTCAATCCTGTTTCAAAATAGGCCTTCGTTGAGGCAGCCCTTCTCAGTTCGCCTGAAGAGTCTAGCTGAGGAAACTTGAGTCTCACTTGAACACAGTTTAATGGCTCCTGTAGCATACCTGCCACCGTGGCAATGGCAGACTATAGACTGCGATGTGTCTTTTCTAGAAGTTGCAAAACATGCGCCTATTGCCCATATCCGAACACACTTCCTGGAACTTCAACAGAAATACACACGTCCTGATTTCTTTACAGATGCCTCCAAGTCTAACTCCTCTGTGTCCTACGCTGCTGTTGGCCCATCCTTTTCGGATGCTGGCCCTCTACATCCAGACACAGGTATCTTCTTAGCGAAAGCTTATGCAATACTTGTGGCGGCTAAACACATCAAGCAATTACAAATACAAAAAGCAGTAATTTATACGGACTCCCTCAGTATGGTAACGGCTCTGCACACTCTTAAAAAACACAAAAACGCAGTCGTTGTCTCACTTTACTCCATTTTGTGCACACACTACACACTCAAACAACATGTTGTAGTGTGCTGGGTGCCAGGACACCGTGAGCTTCAAGGCAACGTGAGGGCGGATCAGCTCGCTGCATCCGTCCACAAAAGCACTGCCCCTACACCCATATCAATCCCGGCCCTTGATGTTAAGCCGTCTCTCAAACGAAACCTCAGGGTATACTGGCAGAGCAAGTGGGATACACACACACAAAACAAACTACACGTTATTAAGCCACACCTTGGTCATTGGCTGCCCGTATCGAAATCGCGTCATACAGATATAATACTAACGAAACACAGGATAGGACGCACATACGCGACACACACTTATCTTTTGTCTGGTGACGATCCACAATTGTGTGACAAATGTGGTGAAACATTAACAGTCCTTCACATACTAATCCAGTGCAAACACTTAGAAACTCTAAGAAAACAACATTTTTCATTACCCTACCGACAACATATACCTTTACACCCTGCAATGTTCGTCGGTAGGGAACTGCTTTTTAGTCATAAATCATTGTTAGAGTTTTTAAAAGAAATTCATAGTTTTCATATCATATACCCGGGCATTCCGTAGCACGACCTCTCCAGAGAGGTTTTCGCTGCGGTGGCTACACAAGAAAGCACTTGCCTCACGGCCCTTGGGCGCAAGGGTATGAACGAGTGATGCACTTGTGCTAATGCCATACATATCCACCATCGTCTTTTATTATCACCAACCTTTGTCATCTATTCGCACCACACACACCTTTCACGGCATGGTCATGATTTTATTACTTGTATGTTTTTACCCGCCTTACCGCGAGGAATTTTATGGCCCTTATACAGCCGGTAATCACAATCATTGTCCACATTCCTTGTCCCATGAACTGGCGCTCTTTGGCCGTCGAATGGCCCTTGCGCCAAAAAACACCATATATCATCATCATCATCATTATTTCTCTGTTCTATCGTTATGTAAGCATAGAATCATACAGGAAAATAAAAAAAACTGAAAATGTCATGATTGGTGAGCTGCTTAAAAACTTCTGTAAAAGACCCTGATTGTGAAAAGTGTCCGTTGCTTCTTTTCCATAATAGTGTCTCTTTTACATGCCACACTGTGTTAGGACTTTTACGAAACTCGGGTGTTTGATGATGGGAGTTATCCAGCTTACCTCACCCACTGTGACTCGTATGTTTATGACCTGTCTCAATGTTTTGTTTTACAGAGGTCTACCATGAAGAGAACAGGAAAAACGGGTATGTTTTATGTTGCAAACAAAAATATAGAGGGCATGCCAGCAAGACTGGGAGAGTTAAATAGGGTAATCATTGATTATTCATCAATTGTGGTATGTTGTGCTCATTAAGAGTAGTGATGTATGAATCTGTATTACTTTTACAAAACAACTGTAGAGGTGTTGGTTTCCCATGCTGCAGTTCATCTGTATTACTTTTACAAAACAACTGTAGAGGTGTTGGTTTCCCATGCTGCAGTTCCACCAGCTCAGCTGCAAAATCTTGCGATGCTCGTGAAGAGACTCCTATGCAACATGCCGAACAGGCTTCGACGAGTTCCAAGGGACCAAGGTTAGTGGCTGAGTTGTGATTTTGCTCTCCATCTGTAGATGAGAGGTCCTATTTTTTTATATCTAAGTACTATAACAAAAGCACTGATTGTGAGAAATAGTCCAGTTTTCTCTCTCACACCTAAAACCTTTATTGCTTTGCGATTACACCATGTATTTTACACTTGTAGCAAGAGTGCTTGAGAAGGAACAACTTATGGTGTTTTGTTGTTGAGTGCATGCACTGAGCACAAAAACTTTAGAGCTGCTAATTTGGTCCTTCGAAGCAAGGTTTTGATGCTCCGAAAGCTGTGCTGAAAAGGCTTTATTAAATGACATCACTGGGCCTGGGAATGGTGATTTGCTACTGTGAGGAGCAAGGTTACAAAGCAGGACATTAACATTCAAGCATTCAGGGCTTTGGTTGAAAACTTCTCTAAAACAGACTTTTCTGGCTCTTTTTTCGAGAAGGGGAATGGGTATAACGCAGCACAGGGACAAATGAAGAAATGGGCAGCACAATTGTCTCTGTCTTTTTACTTTGCTACAAGTAACCTCATTTAACTAGCCCAACTTGTAATCCTGATCAGTTCCATCATTTTATTTTTTCATACCCTTTGTGGGAAAACTGGCGTCACATAAATGAATCCTGGAGTGCGCCGAGAAAACTTTGCTATTATGGATAGCAACATCAAAGTTACACCAATATTTTGAACAGTTTGGAACATGTGTGATATTGATCTATGGGGCTGTGATCATAGGCTAAATATGTAGAGTTATTTCAAGTTGCATGCTATTGCAAGTACTTCGAGAGAGGCAAGGAATGTATGGTTTAAGTATCGCCTGGCTGTCATGAGGTAAGTGTTCGAGGTATGGAAATAGTGCCACCAGCATGCAAAGCACATGGTCTACGACATCTTTCCTGGCAGAAGGATGTTGTAACCATTTAAACATTGCCATCAATAAAACATCAAGCTTGCCAAACATCATATCCTAGCTTTCGTGTGGCAACTTCAATATCCAGCTCCTGCCTTTTCACGGCAGTATTGTTTTAATGTTGAAGTGGCACCCAAAGCCACTGAAACTCATGTCAAAAGAAGTGTTTGACATTTAGAATTATTTGTATGTAGAAGTTACTGTAGCAAATAACTTATGTTTGTATTAACTACCATAGCTCCTCTTGCTGTTACGGTTTATATCTACTCAGAGTAGGGTCCATTTAATGAAGCAATAAAGCGGAGTCTATTTTGGCTGTATTAGTAGGTTACCCTTTCACAACACCGATAGCCCCGCTCTTGCTGTGGGAAAATGCTTAGTCAGTGAAACAATGCACAAAAAAAAATGCACCACCATGAAGCTTCCATACCAACTAGCCTTCACATCATAGGTTTTATCAGTTCCTGATGGGATCTACGTGGTCTTAATTGGTGAAAATATAAATTTTCCTGTAAGTGGGCCAGAGATATATTATAATGATTTTAAGGAAATTTTGTGTAGCAAATGTGGCTAAAATATAAAAGAGCACTTAATTATTCAAGATGTCACGCTGACTTCTATGTACAAAGATTTTGGCATGAAATTTAAAAATGAAACTTTCACATACCATTTCTGTTTTATTATAAGCCTGTGAGGGCAAAATGAAGGACAGTAAAGATTTTAAAGAATAGTTTAAGTCAAAACTGGTTTGGTGGTTCAAAGTCATTTGAAATGTGGGTGCTAAGAAGCTTCAGTAGATCGATCGGTTATATAAAGTTGTAGTTAGACGCATGAGATTCCTTGTTCACTGTGTATTGGGCCTGTTTTTTGCTTTTAAGAGCTTCCATCAATCATGCCTCAGAAAATTACCTCCTGTGAAGTGTGGTAGTGTCAAAGAATAAGCACATATGAAAAGAAGTGCGATGAGCCTTTAGATTTTTTTATATTTATGTTAGGGATTTCAAGTTAATCATATATTCAATTTGGTCGTTTTTTTTCTAGCTGCAGCTTTCGGAGCTTTATTTTTAACTGTTAAGTTTGTTGGGTGGAGAAGTAACAGTGTAATAAATCTTGTCGTGCTGCCTTATCATGAGTGTAGAACGCCAAGGTTTAGTGAAATTTTTCTGCCAGTGCTTTGATTGGTTTTCACTGCATATTTAAATTCGCAGGTACATGCCATTTGTTATACTTACTCACCTGTTAATACTTTTTTTGGCCTTTTTGTAACTGTTGTATGTTCAAAGTGGTGGCTGTGTATTAAGATTGTTCTGTCATTTTAAAGGCACTTTATCCTAACATAATGTTCAACTCTAGAACAGTAGCTTTTGAACATTGTATTTTAGCAGTTTGTTCAACAAGTCTCATGAAAATGTTTTGCCTATTATTGTGCATTGCATAAATAAAACTTGCAACATTAAGGGGCCCTGCAATACTTTTCCAAGTTATCATCGAATGGCTTCATCCAAGGGAGCTTTAGATGCGAAGCAGCTCTTTGACTCAACTGTGTAATGTCGTACCTACGTACATCTAAACGAACACACCGAAACACGTTCGTCTCAACGCAAGTGTTAGAGTTGTGTCAAGTAGGTCATGCTGCTGTTGCACTCCCCTCGCACGCTTCCCTCACAGGTGCACGCTGTCGTCACTCTCATCCTCACCAGCACCATGCTCACCGCAGCGCCCGCAGCAGCCGGCTTCTCCCTCCCGATCGCAACACACTTTTTTCTCTCTTCACCCCTTCCACTCTCTACTGCAGGTTGAGTGGAAACACTCTTTCGGCTCGTTTATCTGCGATGAAACGCACACGAAACCCAACACCACCTCCAGTGTCATTGCGTTTCAAACCAAAGTTTACTTGAGTAAACGGTACACCGAGTTTCACTTCAAACCATTTTTTCAGCACATTATTTTACTTGCAGCCCGTTTCAACCGGGTCAGGGTAGTGCGCACCGTTTCTGCTTCGCATCCCGTGAGGCTTCCCTTCTGAGAGATGGACCATAATTTTATTGCCTCATTAATTCATTGCCACAAAACTTTTAAAAATTTTCAAGTATGAGCCGAGTTAGAGGGTCTTGCCACGTGCTTTAAGCGCTTTCATTTCATACCAGTGAGTGTGCTGAAAGCGACCCAGGTTTAAGGCATGGCAACGAGCAAAAAAGCTATGTTCATTCGAAAGCGTGTGCCATAAGCTTGAGCATTCTTACTTTTTTTTTTCAGACAGAAGGCTTTCTTCCAGTCTGAGCACAAGCAGGCATGTGGCGACAGCCACGGTAACCATAGAGCTCTCGTTGCTCATATCGACCTGAGATTGTGGAAGTTGGGTTTATGGTGCATTCGTTTGAATTTATAGCAATAGTTGTCGTTGAAAGGAAAGGGAGCGATTTCTAGCTGACTTTAAGAATTTATAGTAAATTCTAGGCACTCGAACTCTCTTTCCCACTGCTTTCGATAGTATGCTATACATGGCTATGCTTGCTCTCTATTTTTCGTTCTATCTTTTTCTTTTCTGTTTGTTTCTATCTGTTTCTTCATTTGTCTGTTTCTCTTTCTGTCTTTTTATCATTTCCTCTCTTCTTTTTCTTTCACTATGTTCTGTCTTTTTACCACTTTGTCTTTTGGGTTCAATTCCGGCTGTACGGGTTTCAATGGGAGGCGAAATGATAAAGGCCCGTGTACTGTGTGATGTCATGGCACGTCAAAGAACACGAGATCATCAAAATTTCCAGAGCGCTCCGCTACGGTGTCAAATTGTGGTTTTGGGACATATGATGCCAAATATTTTTATTATCATTAGCTGTTAATAGTAATAGTAGTAGTGTTTTTTTTTCAGTGGTCGTTCTCTTGCCTTTCATCATTTCTCTTTTGCTTGTTTCATTCTAGCTATTTCTCTGTCTTCCTGTACTCGTGTTCCTTTCTCTCCTAACCCTCCCTTTCCTTTCCCCAGGCAGGGTACAACTGTGCCCTTGCGCTACACTGCGACCTCTGTGCCCCTCACTGCACCCATTCAAGTGTATTTTGTGCCAACTGCACCAAAGTTCTTATTTCACCTGCTTAAACAGTGGTGTGGCATTTATGGCTCAATATATTCTTAGTTTGGTCCAAGGTACACATAGCTTTTGCATGCTGCCAGAGAACTCACTTCTCCTATTTTCCCACCAAAATGTGTTTCCTCGTTATAATTAATGTGTTTTCTCGTTATAACCAAAGTATATTGACGGCTCGGCATTTTGTATGTGGTTCGGAAACTCATCGCTCTTATTGAGGAACTGTCACTAATACAAAAAGTAATAATTTGGTAACCTAGCCGTTATGCATATAAAGCACGCAAGCCATGCAGCTGCGCCACTTCAGGCAACGCGCTGTGTACTGGTTTCACACGCGTAATGATTTCTTACATTTTAAGCATCAAAACCACGAGGCATATTCATGCATAGGTAGCTTCAAAATAATGTAGTTATATAATAGATAAATATGTCGCAAAATGAAAATTTACACGTCGATATTGTTGCGGGAGGTTTTTGACGTACCGATTATAACATAAAGCGTAAATGCACGATCACACATAAGGCACGAAGTTGTGCCACTGTCCCTGATATTGTCGCAAGGGTTGCTGTACATGGTTACTTTGCGCCAAACTGGCTACTTTCTGACCCTGTCTAGCTACAAAAATTTCAAGTTGGTGCTGTGGTTACTTTTTTCTACATTTTACTTCAATTTTGTCACATTTGGTGGCAATTTCTCCATATTATTTAAACATCAAACAGCAGCACTTTCAAAAATAATCATTGTTTGCAAGCTTCTTTCATGTTGGCCATGCACACACATGTCCTTCCCCTGCCAGGGGGTAATGACGAAATTTGATGATCGCCCTCTTAGCGGCAAGCCACTCCTCCGTAGTCGAGTAGTTCTCTTCCGTGCGAGAGAGAGTTCTGCTGGCGTAGGCTATTACTATTTCACAGCCGTCTTGCCACTGCACCAGAATTGCACCCAGACCTACATTGATGGCGTCAGTGTGAAGTGCTGTAGGGGCTTCCTGGTCCAAGTGCG